AATCAGACACATTTGGGAGAACTGGACAGGCAGACAGTCCATAATTCAATTCATTAGGGAAAACAGGATGGGCAGATAGTTCATAATTTGACTCATTCACTGAAACTGGCAAGACAGACAGTTCAAAATCAGATTCAACAGCGGAATTTAGTGAGAAAGACAGTTCAGAAACAGTATCTTTGGCCGTAACAGGGCGAGCAGAGAGTTCAGGGGCAGCCAAGACAGGACAGGCAGAGAGTTCACAGATGGCCTCCATAGCCTAACGGGACAGGCAGAGAGTTCACAGACGGCCTCTTACAGGCTAAAAGTGCATTGCTGGGCGCCACCACCCCACAAGGAGCTGAAGCGAGCGCAGCCACCTCTGGAAGTTCTGCAGCGAATGCCGCCACCACCTCTGGAGGTTCTGCAGCAATAGCAACAGGAGTTTCATTAAACACAGAGAGTTCAGAAATATTGTACAAGGTTGGAATGGAGGCGCCAGGGAACACCAAGAGCTCGGGAATGAGTGCCACTGCTGTCTCAGGAGGAGCAAAAGCGGATGTCGCCACTATGAAAGGTTCTGCAACAAAAGTTACCACCTCTGGCTAAGCTGGAGCGGACTCAGGGACTGGAGTAAGCTCAGAAGTTGATTTGGGGAAGAGGAACAGACTCGGGAATGGATTCGGAGATTAGAGCGGACTCTGGATCAGACGCATAGGCCGGAGCCGACTCATAAGCTGGGGTGAACTCTGGAGCAGACTCAGAAATGGATTCTGGAACTAGAACCGGCTCTGGGACAAATTCAAGAACTGGAGCAGGCTCTGGGACTGGAAGGGGCTCGGAAATGGATTCTGGAATTAGAGCAGGCTCGGGAATGAATTTGAGTACTGAAGCAGGCTCTGGATCAGATTCAAGGGCTGGAGAGGGATCTGGGGTAAACTTAGAGACTAGAGTGGGCGCCACCACCTCGGGAGGTTCTGCAGTGGAAGCTGCAACCTCTGGGGAAACTACGGTGGTGTGTGCAGCCCAAACACAGAGAATGGCCATAGCCATAACTGTCAGGACAGAGAGTACATCATCTATCTCCAAGACTGACGGTGCTGTGCCTGGGGAACTGGAGTGAGTAGCGGCTGGCAGGCTTGAGAACGTTGAAACAGTGTCGTTTGCGAACACCGAGTCTGCGTGGCTCAGGATGACAGCTATGACATGACGAGACTCTAGACGATCAGCTGTGATGTGACGAGACTCTGGACGATCAGCTGTGAAGTGACGAGACTCTGAATGATCAGCTGTGATGTGACGAGACTCTGGACGATCAGCGGTGACGTGACTTGACCCAGGGAGATCAGCTGTGACTTGACGTGACTCAGGGAGATCAGCTGTGACTTGACGTGACTCAGGCTCTGGCTTGGCGTGAGCAAGCTCTAGCTTGCCAGGCTTGATGTGAGCAGGCTCTGGAATGGTGGCCATGACGGGACGGGACGACACTCAGGAGTGGCGGCCATTTTGTGAACAGCCTTCTGGCTGGCAGCCATTTTGTGGAGAGACTTTGGGCTGGCGGTCATTTTGTACAAAGTCTCTGGGCCGGCGGCCATTTTGGGAAGAGGCTCTGAAGCGGTAGCCATAAAGGAACCAAGCTCTGGAAGGACAGATACTGCAGGAATGCCGTGTTCCTCCTGCACAAAAACCACATTGAATGCAGAGCCACTTAGAATCAATGCATAGTCCATAAAGTCTCTCAAAGAGCAATTAAACTCTCCTCCAGGAAACCTTGTCCAAAGTCCAAAACTAAAAAAAAATATTTTAAAGCAATCTCGCTGAAGGGTACCTGATAGGACAGTTCACAAAACTGAAACATAATCCTCAATGGATAAGTCTCTTGCCGAAGATGCAATAGCTGGTTGACTGGGTCCATAACTAGCCTGGATGGCTCCATGAAAGCCACTGGATTCGGGTGTGGCTGGTGATTCTGTAGCATAGGAGGCGTGACAATGGAGTGGGGATCCATTTGTAGGCTTTATTAAAAGAGCGTGGTCAAAACAGGCAGGGTCCAGAAACAGCAAACAGTAACAGCAGAGACAAAGCAATTGGCTAATCCAGATAAACAAGCGATGGTCAGGGCAGGCAGCAAACGATCAAAAACAAGGAAAAAGTCCAGGATCAAAACACGATAATCAGGAAACACGGAAGGCAAGACAATGGGAGGCTAAACATTCAATCACCAGCAAAGTCAGAGAGTGTGTGTGCTACTTTTAAAGTCCTTCTAATGTGAGACAGCTGTGAACTGATGATGAGATCTGATGAAATACATGTGATTGCAATTGATGATGTGTCCTGGCAGAGGATTATGGGAAATGGAGTCCGGGGTGAGTGGTAAAGGGTAGAGGATGGGGTGCCCTCTAACGGAGCTTATGGGCACTCCAGCTTGAGATTGTGACAGACATACAGTTTGTCCTTAGACCTAATAATTACACATTTACATTTGAGTGATTGAGGGTGGACAGGAAATATATTATTGGTATGAGACACTATATAAATGTTGAGGATATATTTGGCTGAACATCTCTAAACAAACTTTAGCTAAAACACAGAATCTGTTTGTGGTGGATGCAGAAGATGCCCATCCTCACACTTGAAAGTCACCAGGGTCATAATTTCACAGAATGTTCCATTACTTAACTGTACAACTATTTTTTTAAATCTTTTTAAGAGTCATGTTATTACAGGAATGATAAAAAAGATGTTTGATGCTGTTCACTTTATTTAAACATTTGTTTTTAAATTTAACACCATTATATCAGGTTTCCCATCCAAACATGACTGCATCATGTTGAACAGACTTGAAACAACTTTTTTGGCTTAACTTGATGTTTTCATGTCGAAAGAACATGTTTCAATCAAATAAATCAGAAATTAATTCAATGTATCCTATAGCTTACGTCTATGGCTGACCACAAAAATATTTTAAAGAAATGTGAACTTACTCCATGGTTTCTAATTTCTTTTAAATAATGTTTTCGGAGAAAATGTGTTTGTATAGAGTAGGGCTATAGGTTATTATAAATAATTAAAAGCTAATCAAATAAATACATAAACAATAGTAAATACATAAATCTTTAATATCAAGCCTACATTAAGCCTTTTTCAATGTAATAACTTTTAATTATGGCAAAACATTTTTTTGTGTGTTTCCTAAAAAGATAAAAAAACTGTGCCCATTTTCTAGTCAGTCACGAAACGTCAGCCCGTCCAATCACAGCTGAGCTGAGCGCACTCAAAGTGTCACGAAAAAGAACAGGTAAGCATTTCAAGCTTCTTTATTCCTATTTAAAGTGCATATTGCAGGTAAATTTTTTGCCCACTGAATATATAACCTTGTATGAAAATACCATATGAACCATTAATGCAGGATTTGAAAATGTTTTACAAGACGTGAGGGCACAAATTTTGAAGAAAAAGTGAAAGAGTTTCCTTGACTGTTCTCAAAAAACACTTTTTTTTAACATCGCGTCATATTAAGTCACGAGAGGGAGTCCTGTGCCGGGCTCTGCTTTGAGCGGGTGTCAGTAAGTGTATTTTCGGTAGTTATTTTTATTTCAATTTATCATCATCATGGTAACGAGTGGTTCAGCAGCCAGCGGGAGACATGATGCACAGGAATCCGTCAGAGATGCTGCTCCATGAAAATGTCAACTGTGCACCGTAAGTCTTGTTTTTTTGTTGTTGTTTTTTACATTTGCTAACTACCAAATCAGTGAACATAATTATTTAAATAATGAGACACAACAAGATGTGTATAAGTTGTTGTAAAGCACCACAGCTAGCTTGTAAGCATTAGCAATATATTTTTAAAAACCTTGTAAAAACGTTACTTCAATTCAGTTTTATTTATACAGCACTAAATCATAACAAATATTATTTATATTATTAAAAAGCGTTTGACGTTGGATATTAGACAGATATTCAGCCACGAAAAACTTCAATACATTCTTAGAGGATGAGTATAATTGCATAAAAAATGGCTTATCTGAAAAGCATTAGAATGTAGAACTGAACACACATTGCAATTTATTTGTTTTAATCGTCCTCTATATGTTGAAATGCGTGCTAGCGCTTAGGCCAGCTAGGGACTGTCTACAAAGTACATGTGAAAGGATAAAACGATTAATGTTTTCCCACCGAAATGTTTTTTTTTATATAATTAACAAAACAAGAGCAATTTGTGCACCAAGGTTTTTGAAAGATATAAAGACAAACACTTATAATGCTCACTTGAATTTAAATAAGAAGTATTGTAAACAAGATATGTGATAGTGGTTATTATTATATTATTACTATTAACAAATATATTAATATAATAAAAAAAACTATATTACAAATCAATATCATACCATAATCCAGTGGTTATGCAGTAGGCAGATTCCAGGTCCTTGTGAGAACATTTTAATGTTCGTTGTTTTCACAGAAGTATGACACCAAAAAAGTACATGCTATTGAAATTTAAACCAATAAAAAAAAAAAATACACTCTTCTGTATCAACCTCATGGTGTGTGTCTTGTTACTGTTTTTATAAGAAAATTTTTATGTTTGTGTTAGTCACAGAACTATAACAGAAAACATGCTATTCAAATTCAACAATTAAGACAAAGCTGGCAAAAGAGTGTTGTTTTGCAGTTGTTTTTACGAGTAAGGAAATACAATTTTTAATAAATTAATTTTAATTTCAGTTTTATTACACAACTTCAAAGGGTGTGTCTTGTTTCAGGTTCAGATTGGTTTTAGACACATAACTATAATTGAACACATACTATAGAAATTTAAACCAATACATAATTTAGTTTAAAATAAATACAATCTATTACCTTAGCTTTATAGGCTGTGCCTTGTTACAGATTTCTTAATGAAAATTTTGCAGTAGTTTTCTTTGTCAAAATAGATGCAGAATTCATACTATTGACATTCAAAAATCGCTTGAGAAACCTTCCAAGACAAGACAAGACAAGAGGAAGATACTGCAGTTGTTTTGACTTAGTTTGACGTTCAAACCTTTAATAAATTAATTTAAAATCAATACAGATTTCCATCTCAACTTCAAAAGTTGTGTCTTGTTAATTGGGCCTAAAAGAGCATTTCTATGCAGCTTTTACACTCATTTGTAAATCAGGATGCATCCTATTGAATTTAATTCAAATCTGTTAATAAATTCATTTAGTGACGTGACGTGTGACGACCCATACTAGGAATTAGTGCTCTGCATTTATCCCATCCAAAGTGCACACACACAACAGTGAACACACACACACCGTGAACACACACCCGGAGCAGTGGGCAGCCATTTTTTTGCTGCGGCGCCCAGGGAGCAGTTGGGGGTTCGGTGCCTTGCTCAAGGGCACCTCAGTCGTGGTATTGAAGGTGGAAGAGAGCGCTGTACATTCCCTCCCCCCACCTACAATCCCTGCCGGTACGAGACTCGAACCCGCAACCTTTGGCTTACGAGTCCGACTCTCTAACCATTAGGCAAGAAGAAATTTAAAATGAATAGCCTACAGTCTTCTATTTCAACTTTAAATGGTGTGTCTTGTTTCTGATTCCTAAATGAACATTTAAATAAAAAAACTATAAAAAAAAAAAAAAGAATTTAATTAAATTTTTTAATTAAATGCAATAGCATGTGTCCTGAATTACATATGAGAGTAAAACCTGAATTGAAATGTTCATTTAGGAATCAGAAACAAGACACACCCTTTGAAGTGGAAATAGAAGACTGTATTGATTTTAAAGGTTTGAATGTCAAATTCAGTCAAAACAACTGCAGTATCTTCCTCTAGGTGGCAGTAATACTGGAGACTATTTTGAAGGTTTTGCAAGCTATTCTTGAATGTCAATAGTATGACTTCTGCATTTCCTTTGACAACGAAAACAACTGGAAATTGTTCTTTGAGAAATCTGTAACAAGACCTTTGAAGCTGAGGTAGAAGACTGTATTTATTTTAAACTAAATTATGTATTGGTTTTATTTTCTATAGTATGTGTTCAATTATAGTTATGTGGCTAAAACCACCATCAAAATGTTCTTCTAGGAATCAGTAACAAGACAAACCCTTTGGATTTGAGAAATAAAACATTTGCATGCATTTTCAATTAATTTATTAGCAGATTTGAATTTAATTCAATAGCATGTATCCTGAATTACAAATGAGAGAAAAACCTGAATGGAAATGCTCTTTTAGGCCCATGTAACAAGACACAGCTTTTGAAGTTGAGATGGAAAACTGTATGCATTTTAAATTAATTTATTAAATGTTTGAATGTCAAACTCAGTCTTAACAAATGCAACATGTTCCTCTAGGGGGCGGTGTACTGCTAGCATGTATCCTGAATTACAAATGAGAGTAAAACCTGCATGAGAATTCTCTTTCAGGCCCAAGTAACAAGACATGGCCTCCTAACCATCCCCATATCTGCTGATTGGCTTCATCACTCCTCCTCTTCACCAATAAGCTGGTGTGTAGTGGGCATTCTGGCGCACTATGGCTGCCATCGCATCATCCAGGTGGATGCTGCACACTGGTGGTGGATGAGGAGATACCCCCTGACAATGTAAAGCGCTTTGAGTGCCTAGAAAAGCGCTATATAAATGTAATGAATTATTATTATTATTATTATTATTTATTAATTTATATTGTTTAATATGTTTTATTAATAAAAATTTAATTCAATTCCAGCTCAAGAATATTCAGCTGATACAACCCTGAAAGTTGTTCCCAATTAAATCCAGTTGACCAACAGCTCTGGAAGACATGTTGTGAAAATTACTACACGTTTTTGAAAAGTACTACAGGGTTTTAAATGGGCACATGCCCTACTGAATAAACACTACTCTGATCCTTCACACCTTTATTTTCATTTATGAAAATGTAAATATGTTTTTCAAGACAAGGGCCAATTTTATGATTTGTTGTGACATATACTAACACTTTTTAAAATGTATTTAGAAAAAGGAGCCTGAGCAGGTGCAGAAGGCAGCAGTCCCTATCATTGCTGTTGAGGAGGAAGAGGTAATGTCATGAGGGAACCCACTGGATGTTTTGATTGTCTTTGAAGACAAAGTGGTGATGTCAACCAAGTCTAGGGTCAGTGCACTGCTGCTGTTTTTGCATTTATGCTCTCATTTAGAGTACACTAACTTCTCAAAGCAGCGTTACAGAAAATGCATGTGTCTACATTACAATTTAGCCTGATCTGTACTATAAATACTATACTTTTCAACTTGAATAATGTTGTATCATGTGATTTATAGTAATGCTATATTGGTGTACTCACTTCTGTTACTGTATGTTTGACTAATACACTGGAAGCAATATTTGTAAGTTTAGAGGCTGAAAATACGTCAGTATTGTACGTTTTGGTGCCTGTAAAAACGTAAGTAAATGTACGTTTTATAGAACCACATTTTACGTAAAATACATACGAATTATCATGAGATCACGTTGATATGTCACAAGCTTAAAATCTGAATATTTCCATTTTTTTTACATGTGCACATTGCGCAAATATAGAGTTTCTGTCACGGGGTCTGTCAGGGGAAAACACGGATTCAATTTGCAGGTTAAACTGAAATTTATTTGAATCTCAAAACGGTCCAAACGAGCCTCCAGTCACTCCACGAGGCAGAGCGGGTAAGGCGTAGGGAGAGCAGCGCACACAGGCCCAGCGTCAATGCTGACGCAACGTCAGAGTGGAGAGAGAACCGCGCACAGAGTCTAAGCGTCGGTACCGACACAACGTCAGGGCAGAGAGTTCCTTGTAGAGTGCACCGAGAGGGGCAGGAGAGGAGAGGCCGCAAAGCGCAGTTCTGGTAACTCCAGGGCAGGAACTATGAAAACACGGCAAGACAAGAACACAACAAGACTGAGAGTAGGTCACGAACGAAGAGTAGCGTGTTCACACCACAACGGTCAGACACATATCATGAGATCACGTTGATATGTCACAAGCTTAAAATCTGAATATTTTCTTTTTTTTTTACATGTGCACATTGCGCAAATATAGAGTTTCTGTCACGGGGTCTGTCAGGGGAAAACACGGATTCAATTTGCAGATTAAACTTAAATTTATTTGAATCTCAAAACAGTCCAAACGAGCCTCCAGTCACTCCACGAGGCAGAGCGGGTAAGGCGTAGGGAGAGCAGCGCACACAGTCCCAGCGTCAATGCTGACGCAACGTCAGAGTGGAGAGAGAACCGCGCACAGAGTCCAAGTGTCGGTACCGACACAACGTCAGGGCAGAGAGTTCCTTGTGGGCAGAGAGTTCCTTGTAGAGTGCACCGAGAGGGGCAGGAGAGGAGAGGCCGCAAAGCACAGTTCTGGTAACTCCAGGGCAGGAACTATGAAAACACGGCAAGACAAGAACACAACAAGACTGAGAGTAGGTCACGAACGAAGAGTAGCGTGTTCACACCACAACGGTCAGACACAAGACTACACACGAAGGGAATTTAAAAGGAGGGAGAATTAAGGAATTAACAAGCCACAGGTGTGACAGCAGCTGAAGTAGTTAATAAGATAACGATGGGGAGGGAAACCACGAAGACAATGAGCACATGGTGAACTGTCAAAACAACAACAACTTGCTGATCAGACCGAAGTCATGACAGTTTCTCACTGTTTGCACATAATAACCACTCTCCTACACGGTTTATTTATTACAGCATAATTAATATTTATCCATTTATGGATAAATATACTGTGCATATAAACATCTGTGCCATGCTGCTCATATTTATTACACAGTAAAAATGCCCCTCCTCGCGCCCAAAACGGGTTGCCTGTGGATGAGTATCCAAAACAAGGACACATGGTGAACTGTCAAAACAACAACAACTTGCTGATCAGACCGAAGTCATGACAGTTTCTCACTGTTTGCACATAATAACCACTCTCCTACACGGTTTATTTATTACAGCATAATTAATATTTATCCATTTATGGATAAATATACTGTGCATATAAACATCTGTGCCATGCTGCTCATATTTATTACACAGTAAAAATGCCCCTCCTCGCGCCCAAAACGGGTTGCCTGTGGATGAGTATCCAAAACAAGGACTGGTGGGAGGTTGTCCTGCTCCACTTCATAGTTGTCGAATGAAAGGAGAGTTTTATAATGATAGGACACGCATTTATACAACACTTCATTCAAAAGGAAGAGCAGTTCATTCCACGCGTCATACGTCATTACGTTATTTCTGCGTCACTGCACATGCGCAGTCCTTTAAGTTTCGGGGTTCAATCCGATCGAGTGTTTACATGCACTCTCAATCATATTAGAAAAGGAATAAACCACCCC